CATAATTGGACACCGTATCTCAGGCGCTGTAAATTCACCAAGTCGTCATTTCCAATCCAGAATTTGAACCGCCTCCCAAGCTCTGCACATCGCCAAACCCACTGATCATGTTAGCCTAGCGTGTTACCTCCTAGGGGATTACTTTTCCAGGCAACTCCTGCATGCTAGTTTGTCTAATCATTAAAAGGAGCCTTTTACCTTGTAGCAGTGGTGCCAAATTGTCAATTTTTTTCGCTGGATTTAATAATAGTTCAAAACTCCCTACTCTTTATTTTTGAATAATAGCTTTCATATATCCACGCTAATTTTATAGAAGCTCCTTGGCGCCACTGCCACTTAGCATACCCACAGTTCTGAGATTATTATTTAATTCAAATTACGTTTTATTTTCATATCTATTCCATCGACACTCGACCGATCCATCGACCATCATGAACAACCGCTGCCACATCTCCTGGACCAAATTACTCACCAAAATTGCCACGAACTTGTGAATAAATGTGTAAACTATTGAATTATACTTACGCCCCAACGCACATGTGTCACCTGCCCCGCCTCGAAATCGATCTCGTACTCGCTCCACGTCGTACGCTCGCTCATAAATTGGTTCCTCAACTATTGACTATCGACTACAACAACACCCAACTACCACCACAACACGGTCTAAAAAATAAATAAAACTATATATAAACACGAACGGACATCCGCAGAGCGGTAAGAGCCTGGAGAATGTCCTGGCAATCAAACTGAAGGCCATCAAGGCTCAGAAGCTGCCGACGCTGAAGCGCGGCGATGTCTCCAGGTACTTTCCATCGTCAGGTAAGGCAATCCCAATCCGTTTGGTTAACCATATTGCAAATAGAGCAACTACTACTCGTACTACCGCTACTGTATGTCATCCGAAATGTGTGATCGTATGACCGTTGAGCGTATGCAGCACCATCGAGCTGATTGTATCAGAGTTCTTCTAGTGGCACCCAGCATGATAGATCATTTCAGTCATTTACTTCTGATTTACCGCCTATCTCTTTTACTTTCCGTAAGAGTGCGTTCGTTGGTCTTAAACTTATTTCTCTGCATGCGCCGCCTAACAATTGAGCCGGAATCAGTACTAGTAATCAATATCGCATTTAATACGACCACTGAGGCATCACTAATCCATGGCACTCTTCCGCAGATGAGCGCATCATCGAGTACGACATCGACAAGGTGGTTTTCGAGGAGCGCTCGCCCTTCCAGAAGATTCAAATCATGCACTCCAAGACGCTGGGCAACATGCTGCTACTGGACGAGCTGCAGAGTAAGTATACCATGCTTAGTATAGGCATCAGAATGTGATACGTTCCACATTCACACATGGATGCGCCAACGGTGTCAGGGTCACCAATCGATTGGTGGAAGTGCCGCACTAAAGGTCATGTGCAATTGCCTTAAAAAGGTCATCACGAATATAAAGGATTAGGGGTTTTTAATGAATTGTTTTTATTTTTGTTCGCTTTATGTTTAGTTTAAGCACTCGCATAAATTACAAAAATAAATATTCCACATCACGGGCTGTTAATGTTGTGTTAAGTTACAAATATTCTATATCACGAGCTCTTATTTGCTTGTTAAATAAATAAAAAGAAGTATTCAAGATCATGGAAGTTATTACTCCCCGGCTGGAATTAAAACTGCATAATATTAGGTATAAAATATCGGTTATAAAAAAGGAATATTTGACTAGGTAATGGTGCCTTCTAGTCTGCCGGTTCTCTCTTTAATATAATTAATTTTTAATTTTCCCCCTTCAGACATTGCAGAATCTGATCTGATCTACACGGAGACCCTGATGTGTCGCGGTGTGGAGAACTACGAGGGCAAGGAGATCTGTATCCTGGGCGGCGGCGATGGCGCGCTGCTGTACGAGCTACTCAAGGAGAATCCAAAGCATGTGGTGATGCTGGAGATCGATGAGCTTGTGATGCAGACCTGCAACAAATACCTCAACGTGATATGTGGCGATGTGCTGGAGAAACGCAAGAGCGATCAGTACGAGATCATTGTGGGCGACTGTGTGGAGTACTTGAAGAAGTTCATCGCCGAGGGCCGCAAGTTCGACTACGTGTTTGGAGATCTTACTGATATACCCATAACCGATGCCCCGGAGGGCGAGACTTGGGACTTTATTCGTACCATCTTTGAGCACTCTTTCAAAGTACTGAAGCCCGATGGAAAGTATTTGACTCATGGCAATGGCTCCACCTGCAAGGTGCAGCTGCGTCTGTTCGAGGAGCAGTTGAATTTGCTGCGCCCGAAGGTGAAGTTCACCACCACCAAGGCGTTTGTGCCGTCGTTCATGGAAGAGTGGCTCTTCTACCAAGTGACCTTCGCCTGACAAGCTCAGGTGGAGTCCTCAGCAGCAGCAGTAGCTACTTCTAGCGCACCACCAACCGCCAGTCACACACCAGCATCACACAGCAAAAGTCAGGAACCAGGAACCGTCGGGGAGATGCTCCAGCTGCACTCCTACACAGTCACTATCCACGGAGCAGCAGTCGGAGTTCAGGAGGAGGAAGTTATGAATAATGGAGCCGTGGGACAATTGAAACCGCGACCAAGGCGTCGAAAGAAGCGGGTGCACTACCACCACACACTGGTTTCTTAGTCCAGAAAGCACGGAATCTGAAGCACAAGCTGATCGCCATCATCGAAACCATCGCAACAAAACCCAAACAGAAGAAAACACGCACTTCCAATGGCTGTTACTTACAATTGAAAACCAAACCAAATACTGAACCCAATTCGTTTACGCTTAAGTTAGGCTTTAGTTCCGTTTCTCGTCCACTGATTTCAATGCTAAAACTAAGTGAAAAGTACAACCTAAAGGCTAAAATAACTTATGTATTCGTGTTTATTTGAATTACGCCTAAGCATAGCATGTTGGCCAACTATTTGTAATATTTCGTATAACGTGTAAATCTATATATTGTAGACCATATGTTTAGTTATCCATTAACAAACAAACTGAAGCGGGGAGGGCCCGATCGAGGATGTGTGCATGTGGGTGTGAGGAAGCGTAGCAGAAGACACCAACTTTTATTGCTGTAATAACGATTAATACCAAACATTTTAAGCGGGAGAACTACAAGTTAAATAAATAGTCGTACGCAGAAATAATTAGTGTTGTTTCACTTAATATTCAAGTAATATTACTCATGCGCACTGTTGACGTGTCTTACATTAACGTGGATAATTTATTTACCTTTCCCCACTAAATACTGAATACAATTGATTTTATCTTATCATATTGGTTTATTTGATCCTAACTTAATTTTGAATTTTATCGAGAAGCACCCTACCCCCCGAATGGCAGTGTTGGAAAAGCGTGCAACAGAGGACGCACTAAATATGCCCACGCGACAAGCAGTTGGACGTTAGTTTCACTTGTTACGTTGGTTTTAATTTTCATCTGGAGCTAACAGAACAAAATGGAGCGGAAACTGCACAGCGGAATGCACCATGCCACCCTGCGGCAGCTGCAGGAGTCGGGATGCGAGATAGCGCCGCACAACCTCATGTATCCGGTGTTCATCGTGAGCAACGACGACGATGTCCAGCCGATTGCCAGCATGCCGGGAATCTCGAGATTCGGACTGAATCGTCTGAAGGAGCACCTGAAGCCGCTGGTGGCCAAGGGATTGTCGTCGGTGCTGCTCTTTGGCGTCGTGGAGCCGGACATGAAGGATGAGCAGGCCTCCAATGCGGATTCCGCAAAGAATCCAGTGGTTCTAGCACTGCCCAAGCTCCGTGAATGGTTTCCAGATCTGCTAATAGCCTGTGATGTGTGCATCTGCCCGTACTCCTCGCACGGTCATTGTGGCCTTCTGGGCGAAACGGGGCTGGAGAATGGACCCAGCATAAAGCGGATAGCTGAGATTGCCGTGGCTTATGCCAAAGCAGGAGCCCACATAGTGGCTCCTTCGGACATGATGGACAACCGAGTGAAGGCCATCAAGCAGGCCCTCATTGATGCCCAGATGAACAGTGTGTCCCTCCTGGCGTACTCCGCCAAGTTCACCTCCAATTTCTACGGACCCTTCCGGGAGGCAGCGCAATCCGCACCGAAATTCGGCGACCGAAGGTGCTATCAGCTGCCCAGTGGCTCTAGGAGCTTGGCCATGAGAGCCATTCAACGCGATGTCGCCGAGGGAGCAGACATGCTGATGGTGAAACCTGGAATGCCCTATCTGGATATCCTCCGGTCCACAAAGGATTCCTACCCGTATCACACGCTGTACGTTTACCAGGTTTCCGGTGAGTTTGCTATGTTGTATCATGCTGCCCAGGCGGGAGCCTTTGACCTCAAGGATGCGGTACTGGAGGCCATGAAAGGCTTCCGGCGAGCTGGTGCGGATTGCATCATCACCTACTACACACCCTTTCTGCTGGACATTATCGGGAAGGTCAAATAATGGTGTACCTACCATGTCCGACGTGCGATGTCTTTATATCATGTTCATGTACATACATAGTACATATGGAGATTAGAGTGGACCTCTTAAAACAACAAATTATATGCCTTTTGTAACAGATATTATAGTAAAATTTTTGTAGAATTTTTAAAATATTTATACGGAGCTCTCCATAGACACGAGTTTACTTTTAATAACAATTAAGAATTAATATTCACTTGTATTTAGGGACCAGCACATTAAGTTTACCAATTAAGAGGCTTAAATAAAACTCAAAGCTTTTACTTACATAAATATAGAAAATATTTTGATACAGCAGGATTTGTATTCAATAAAAGAAGTCCACTCTAATCTTGAATCACCATTACTAGTACTTTTGGAGTGCCGCGCTCAAACACACACACTCTGGAATGTATATTTTGATGGTCTTATCTATCGTCCGTATTTGGAAGTCTAATGGCCTCGGGAACATTTCGAATTTCAATTGCATGGCGAAATTAAAGCGGACGAACCGAACCGGTCGATCCAGTAGAACAAGGCAAAAGATTTTCGTTTTGTGATGGCACTTAACACTTTAATGTGAAACTCTTTCGATTGCATTTACAAATGGGCTACGGTGAGCATTGAACACTGGCTGGAGCTTACTTGCTAAATTGGTACCAGTTTAAGTCTTACGAAAAGATAAAAATCACAAAATCAAATGCATTAAGTACGTAAGCAATTGGATTACCTCTGGTTTCTGCTAAAAATTGAGCCAAAAGGATTTGGTACGATTAGTTATAAAAACATTATCTGATAAATAAAAATATATGGTAACATGTCCTAAGCATTTCACAACTTTCACTTTACGGGATATTAAGGTGATGTTTGGACCTCTTATACAATATAAGTAGTATAATAAGCTTCAGCGATTTCGATTCAACAAAAGTGTTTAGATCGGTAAAAGGAAACTGATTAATATAAAATTACCTAAGCTCCAGTTCGACCAAATTCTGTTTAAATTGGATATAAAAACATTTGCATATATCATTTACGAAATCAAAACTAACTAAAATTAGAATGTAAACTAAAAACAGATTAACAAACAGAAAATACTGAGTGCATTAAGGATAAATAGTTTGGAATACAAAGGATCCGCAGCTTTAGGGACTCTCGCTGCTGTGAATGCGGCTGTGCTCCAGAATGTCCGTGTTCTGCATTGGCTCCAGATCCGTTTCAGAGATAATCTCCGCCAGCCACTGCTCGATCTGGACGGGATGGAATGAGTCTTCATCGCCGCTGTTTGCCTCGAGGATGATCTTGAGATTCTCAAAGTTTTTAAGAATTAGCCTCTTGCCCGGCTGCAATTGTGGTCCCGATTCGCTTTGTGTTAGCGACGTGGTGGTCGAAACTGGCTCTTGTTTGGCAGCCGTCTGCTTAGGATTGGAGTTGGCATCGCAACTGGAATCGGCAGCCGAGGTTTGAACGGGCTCTGCCACCTGGTTGTAAGTCCTGCGCGGCTTCTCCACCATGCTCTTCTTTATCTCATTGAGGAGGCGATTGTAGAAATCGCAGGTGACATCGTGAATCTCAGTCTCCTCGTAGCGCTGGGCTTGTCCAGGCGTAGGAGTGGAATCCGAGCTGGGTTCGCGGTCGATCTTATCTGGCTTTTTGTTTGCCTTTTGCTTTTTGGACTGCGAACGGGAGCTGGCATTACTTGAGTAATTGGAACTGGAGGCCGTGGTGGTGGGCGTGGAATTCGAGGGTTCGGTGGTGGTGGTACTGGAATCAGCGGATTTGGCTAAGGGGATCTCTGCACTCACCGCCTCTTCGCTGGCGCAGTTTATGGTCAAGCTAGCAATATTGCGTAGGTTGATGGTTCCATTGCAATTGTTTATGGTGATTTTTGGCTTGAAGCGCTGCTTGCGACTCTTGGTTTTCGGTGGTTCTTGTACGCTGCCCTTTGATTTTGCAGAGGTTTCACGCCCCAAGCTGGAAACGGCTTCGGCAATCGAAGATTCCAGTTCGTCATCTAGTTCCTCCAAGTTTAAAGGTGGCACATAGGTATCCCTCTTGATCTTGGCCTTCTTTATCAGATCCTTGGCTTCCTGCAGTGTGATGTTGATGATGGAGCGCTTGGCATTGTCTTCTACGAGAGTTCGATTGCGGGAGAAATCCACCACAATGGCCTCCGGTGGGGCGCCGTCTTCGTCCAGGTCGAGATATGATACTTGCCCATCCTGCAGGCACTTGTACATGGTCTCATGGTCATCTAGAGGCTCTATGTAGTCCTCGTTCCTCAATCCCGTGGTTCGGTAATCCTGCAGCGCCAGCTGCATATCACTGTTGTCCAGCAGAAAGTGCCCGAAGCTTCGGATGGCGGTCAGTAGCTTCTCCTCCGCATCCTCGTTTTCTCCGGGAATGAATCGCACACCACTTCCTTCGCGATCCTTCTCGCCAATCGAGTTCTCCACTTCGAAGGGGGACTTCTTCAGCAATTGCTGCTGCTGTCGAGTATTCGCTATGACCTCCAGTTGCCGAAGCAGCAACTTCTCGCGCATATGCAATGCAGCACGGATTTCATTGAACTTCTTTTGTACGGTGTCTTTGACCTGGGCGATGGAAAATTGGGGCGTGTATCAGTAAACAGGAGTCTTAGCACAGTCCATTCAGTTTAAGGGGATAAGTACAAGAAAAGTGGAGTACAAACCTCATCCAGATTCTTGTCCATTTCGTGCGTGCTACTAAATACTTTCTCTCTCTAAAAGTTGAGCATTTTTTTTTCCTAAATTCTTGTGTATCAATATTTTTTGTTTGATCGATCAGCTGAGTTGCGAAGTGGCCGCCGTTTTCAGCCACGAAAATACCAGTGGGCTTAATAGCGCTGGTCCCTGTAGTTGGTCACACTTTAAATTTGGCGGGAAAATTGTATTCGCATTTTTTATAAGACATTGCTTGTTTATATTCAAGGCGAACGGGATTTCATAAATGATAGCTTTATGTAAATTTATAAGTGGCAAGAACAATTTCATATTGTTCCATTGCGTCTTCTTTTATTTTCGTTCTAGAAGAGCTAAGGCAAATGCTACCAAAATAATACAAGTAATACCAATAAAAGTAAAACTGATAAAGAGCACTGCGTTTTAAGCGAGGCATAGTGAAATAATAATTATAAATATGTTTAATTCTGCTTTTCTATTATTATTATTTTTTAAAATATTAGTATTTTGCCGGGCATGGAATTGCCAGCGTTGCCACTTTTTTTGATGCGTTTAACAGAGGATAATTCTTATGCCTGTATGACACAACATTGTTGATCCCATTACAATGGGGATTATTGTTTATTAAAATTGCAAAAAGTAATCTTCTTATGGCAAGTAATTGTAACGCAATAACAAAGGTATTTTAGATGGAAAACAATTGAGATCTGTAAAACCAGCATTGAATAAAAATCCAATGCAGTGTCACAAGCCCATGAGCGGCTTAAAAGTGTGTGACCGTATGGCAACTGCACAATAATCCCCTTTACAGAGCTCTGTTAGCATTTCACATGTTTTTTTTACATACCCGAAATTCGGACACACCATCGTCAGTTTGTTTTCATTTCAACGTTGCGTCGGGTTCACTCTGATTTTTGCACCGGAGGCGCGCATTTCAATTAAATTCGGAAGAACGCTGAGTGCGCACGCTGTTTCGTCAACCGTTCAAATATTTAAAAACGTAAAATTGGTAAATAAATTTGGTTCTCTTAACAAAAAAAAAAACGAAAAAGAATCGCACATGTGTTAAAAATACATCGGTAGATCCGATAAATCACCGGGAAAATATGAAGAGATTTTGCCGCCGATAGTGTTAAAAAAAACTATTGATCAAAACGTTAAAAAACCTTTTTGTGTTGGAATATGGATTCAAGAAGAGCATAAAATAAGAATTTACGCTCAAAAGCTAAAGCAAAACAAATCGAAATTCACCGCTTCCACGTATTTCTCAGCTGTCTTTGTCTTTGTCTTTGGCTCTGCCATCTCTTTTCCACGCGTCGCGGCGCCCTCAAGTGTTTGGTTTTGTAATTGCCTTTGCTTCGCGAAACTGTGCTGATTTAAATGTTTTAATTGTACCGCTCTTAAAGTATTATTTCCCCAAATGCAGTTGAAACATAACAATTGTCGCGTGGCTTTTGCAGCGTAGAGAAGAGAGAAAAAAGCAGCCGTGTTTAAATAACAATAGTCATCGCCTATTGTTGTTGCCCCAACTAATTTGAACTGTGCGTGTGTGCGAGTCTGATTGTGTTTGTGTATGAAGGCGCGTTGGTGTTTGTTGTTGTTGTTTTTTCTTGCTCTGCTCAGACACAAAAAAAAAAACGAATGAAAGAAGGAAATATTCAGAGAATTTTGAGTTTGTTTCTCATTCTTCCTGCCAAAGAGAGAGAAGCGTAAAAAGAAGCAACAAACAAGACAAAACAATAAAAAAATCAAGGGAAACACACATGCAAAGCAACAAAAGAAAGGCAAATAAAAGAGAGCGAGAGAGCGCGAATTGTGTCAGTGACGCCAAAAAATTTAAAAATATCAATAATGCCCACTAGTGTTTTATTTTCGTTTCGCCAAACGGCTTATAATTAATTAACTGCAACTATATTTAATTGGTTTTGTGTCCGCATTGTTTTTATTGCCATTTCGATTGTGTTTCCACGGCTTTTGCCGTCGTTTTAGCTTTGCGATTGCGAGACTGCCTTTGCAAATTGTCTTTGCGTCGGCGGGTCGTGACTGGATTCCATTGAATATTTCACAAACAGATGATGCATGTGGTTGTACGTACATATGTATGTTTGTTTGTTTGTCGCCTCTAAAACCACATGTGCTTGGGCTGATTTCTTTAAAATATGCTCTATAGGAATACAGTTAGTTGCTGCTTTTCGCTTTCTTGACTAGCTTTTTTTATCGCTTCTAGTTTTCTGGTTTTTCTCCCTTTTCTCTCCCCTTTTGTGTTGCTCCCATCTTGTTATCATCGGCAGAAACCTGTTTTGTTTTGTTTTGTTTTGTTTTGTTTTGTTTTTCTTTTTTACCTGGTCTCCGGGTTTCAAATTCGGAATTACCTCATTTTACACTTCAATCTCTGTGCTTTTCATTTAGTCGCTGCGACTAACCCACTAAATTAAATCATTTTTATTTCACCCGCATTTGTAGGTCGCTGAAATGTTATTACACTTTCGGCGAGTTCGAGATATCGCGTAAATATTTATCAAATTCGAAATAGGAAGAGTAAATATCCAAAAATGTTTTGCGAATATCGAAATCAAGTCTATAAAAATGCATACCTGAGCACCGTAAATTGATTATCATTCGAATGTTTAGTTGTAGGAAACCAAGTATCCGCCTATTTTACCCATAAAATACGGAAATAAACATGTGAATTATTATAATGTATAATTTTGATAGCAAAAATACCCATCATAAATTTTTTAATTTAATATAGAACTAAAATGTTTAAATATTTTATTTTCCAACATTTAAAACAGCACAGTGAAAACCTATAACTACAAAATAAACACGACAACCAAGCTAAAACAAACCAATAAGTAGTGCATATTATTTTAAAAACACTATAAATCTACCATTATTTTAACCGAAAATCTGTACAAAGAAAGCCTATGAAACTATATTTTCGTGAAATTAACTAAGCGCGTGTAATCGAAAAGCGTACGAGTGTTTAATCATCATCGAAGGCGAGTGTCGAAAAGTGTTCCGAGGTCAATGTTTCTGTTTCTGCTGCTGGCAACTCATCGCCTAAATTAAGTACACAATCTGCAGCGAGGTGAGTTTTATTCGGATACATTTATTTGCCATTGCCGCATTACATACCCCTGACCCTGGCCCCACTTATTTTGGAGTATTTCGAAACGCCGCCCACTTGTATTTGCCCCATTGAGAGCTATTCGTAACTCCCCCCATATCTCTACCACTATCTCGCTGCGAATCGTGTGAAATCGTGTGAAATACTTGCGCTATTGGCGACCATGTGCGATGAGTAAGTTCAATACAAGTGGGCTAAGTACACACAATACTTGAATGGATCTGCTAAACATTTTATACAAATCAGTCGATATTAACTGAAGCAAATACGTAATTATTTGCCTGGTAACTTAAATAGGTTCAGTTTTATTGCACCACAATATTTTTACCTTAACTTTTGTCTCAAATTTTGAAAGCTGATTTGCTATCAATCTCTACCGTTATTATTACTCCATTTTTATTTGTGGTTCACTTCTTATCGAATCAAGATTATAATGCCAGATAACTTACTTAACTTTTCTAGACATTGAACATTTTATTGGATTCAAGAGAGAGTACTAATGTACTTATAAGTAAAGCATTAAAAGTTCAACTATTGAATGTGAATTGAGTAAATTGTGTACCATCATTATTTATTTGTTAATTCTGGAGCAAATAAAAGTCGTCAATAAATTCAATTTCGCAAATAATGAGCTCAACAAGCATTTAAATCTTAATTTTTTATTTACCATTCGATATCTGGAACAAAAATTGCAATACTCGGTTGAATTACGTTAATTTTGCATCTTTGTTGCCAGCGATAATTAATGCATATTAACTGCACTTAACGCGACATGGCAGTTCACATAGGTATTCCTTTTGTTCGCATTGCATTAATAGGTTCATTTCGACACGCGTAATAGAGTTCACATCGAAGATGCGTTGAATTGAGTGGCAATTATTAAATTGTATACAATTGCTAGTTACGATGCAATTAATTAAATCGCTGCATTCGATTGAAATCGAAACCGCTTTAACAACTGGAAATTTGATTGTCCGACTGTCTGAGAAGTAGCATCAAGCCAATAGCAATCCCATCGAAACTCATCCAAACCAATCCAATCCAATCCGAACCAAACCACATTCAACAATTTCAGAGCTATCTGTCCGTCCGTCCGTTGGAAATATAAATTCATTACTCGGCTTTAATTAGTTTCAATTTGCACACGCCATCGAGATATCGACGGGTTCAGAGTTGTAGAATTTCAACCAATGAATTCAACCAATGTATGCAGTCCGATTCAGTTTTCCGAATGTTTTTTGCCAAATTATATTTCAGTTTGCGCAATCGAATCGAAAGAACAATGTGCAATATTTTGATTCACACAATTTTAGCCAGAATTCTGGATGGGCGGCTAAAATAAAGTAGAAATATGCATGGCCGAATTAATTGTAAATAACTACTGGACACAAGTGAAACAAAAGTAGAAATGTTTGTATTTAATTGTAAGCTAGATGTTGCTATCTGGTGCATAGAAATATGTTGCAATAACTTTGGCAATTGTGCACTCTGATATTTAATCCGTACTGCAAAGTGGCTTTCGAAATGTTTGCCGTTTGCCAATTACAGACTTTTGACTTGTGAATTTTTATTACAACCTACCCCCGACTATCATCTGACTGACCCCTGATTCCTGACCCCTGGGCACTCCAGTTTTCCACTGAGAGCTGGCAATTTGCATAACAAAGCCGCTTAGCCCCGAGTAACCGAGCGGCATATTTTTGTATTCATGATTGATGTGCTGCGGCTTTCCATATATTGTACTTAAACAGATATGGCTAAATGCATACATGGTCAGCAAGTGCTATACTTTTATCTCTCCTGCAATTAAACTTAATCACTTGTTCGCAATTAGCATGGCAGCTGCGATAATTCCGGGTGTCAGTGTGTCCGTGTGTCCGTGTGTGTTTATGCCCATTAGTAGGACATAAAAATCCAGTTTTCCCCGAAATGAAATGGCCGGAATGGAGCCCATTTCAATGCCGACTGCCCGCAAGCACCAGAACATAAAAATCAAATCAAATTACATTACTAATGCGCCGCGTTGTCCGCGACTAGGCCACATTCACGCAGGCATTTGCATTTATTTAGCCAATTTATGCGCCGCAATCCCCTAGAAAAATCCCCCATTTCTCCAAATTCGTATCCCATTCTAAGCTGATTTTATTTGTATTTTTTCCCTTTTTGTTTGTATTTTCCATTGACTTTCTAGCGTTACCTTCGCGTGTGCGTGGACGCCAAAAAACAAGCTGGTGACTCATGGAAATGTACGCCGCGTTGTCCTTTTTCCCGAGGACGACGGCTGTCCCGGTCGTTTTGCTTTTTTTTTATGGCTTGAATCATGCATTTTTTAGCATTCCTGGCTTTTTATTGGCTCCCTTTTTTCCCGAAGCGAATGCGTTTAGCTGGGCGTGGATTTGCTTTTATTAGCGGCTCTCCAACGGGCGTTTTGTAAACAGCTTTAGCACAGATCATAATACTAAACTCAAACGGTTTTACTACACCAAGGGGACAGCTCAAAGAAGCTGGGTTCGGAAAAATGGAATTTTTGAAATTTGAAAGGTGGAATCGTTTGCCCATCGTTTGCCCATGTTTGCCCACCAATTAGTTTTTTTTGCCCACGTCCAGTTTTGAAGATATGAAATTTCGAAAATTTTCGAAAATTTTCGAAAATCAAAAAGTTGACTTTTTTGAACTTTTTTTTTTTTAAATCGCAATAACTTCGTTTGCCCACGTTTGCCCACCCTTTAGAATTTTGAAAAAACTTTTAGTTTAGAAAATATAAGGCCTTAAAGAATTATGCATTTTCCACCTACTAAGACTAAATATTTTCAAAAAAAATCTTTTGCCCACCCTTTAAAAATGGTTCTAAACGTTTGCCCACCCTTTAGAATTTTGAAAAAACTTTTAGTTTAGAAAATATAAGCCCTTAAGAATTAAGAATTTTTCATACCTCAAAACTAATTATTTTCAATCAAAATCGTTTGCCCACCCTTTAAAAATGCTTTTTATCGTTTGCCCACCCTTTAAAAATTGTTTTTTTTCGTTTGCCCACCTTTAAAAAAAAATATTTTCGTTTGCCCACCTCTTAAAACTAAATATTTTCAAACAAAATCGTTTGCCCACCCTTTAAAAATGCTTTTTATCGTTTGCCCACCCTTTAAAAATTGTTTTTTTTCGTTTGCCCACCTTTAAAAAAAAATATTTTCGTTTGCCCACCTCTTAAAACTAAATATTTTCAAACAAAATCGTTTGCCCACCCTTTAAAAATGCTTTTTATCGTTTGCCCACCCTTTAAAAATTGTTTTTTTTCGTTTGCCCACCTTTAAAAAAAAATATTTTCGTTTGCCCACCTCTTAAAACTAAATATTTTCAAACAAAATCGTTTGCCCACCCTTTAAAAATGCTTTTTATCGTTTGCCCACCCTTTAAAAATTGTTTTTTTTCGTTTGCCCACCTTTAAAAAAAAATATTTTCGTTTGCCCACCTCTTAAAACTAAACCTTTTCAAACAAAATCGTTTGCCCACCCTTTAAAAATGCTTTTTATCGTTTGCCCACCCTTTAAAAATTGTTTTTTTGGTTTGCCCACCTTTAAAAAAAAATATTTTCGTTTGCCCACCTCTTAAAACTAAATATTTTCAAACAAAATCGTTTGCCCACCCTTTAAAAATGCTTTTTATCGTTTGCCCACCCTTTAAAAATTGTTTTTTTTCGTTTGCCCACCTTTAAAAAAAAATATTTTCGTTTGCCCACCTATTAAAACTAAATATTCTTGCATCTCACAATTCGCACGGAAATCTTTCTTTTTCTCTTTCTTACTCCCAACCGTAAAAAAATTGTTTTTATCCTTAAAAAAAAATATTTTCAATTAAAACTTACTTTCAGTAAGTTGTGGCGCCAACTCGCTTTAGGATCTGCCTATAGAACACATGCATACGCACACGTGGTACTTGCCGCATTGGCTATGCATACATACATACGTACATATTACAAAAACAATATTGTGTATTCTGCTTATTCTTCACTAGTTCTGTATGATGAGCAACAACAATTTCACATGCTTAACCGTTAAGTTGCTGTCCGACTGAAAAGCTACATAGCTAAAAATCAGTTGTACGTTTCGTTGCTAGCAAATTGTTTTTCATACATACAACCCAGAAAAAAAGATATTATTTAAAAACAAATATGTGTTTGCTTTACCATATTATTATCTAAAATAATTTGGAGTTTTTATAAGCATTAAAAATATGTATTTTCATTTTTTATTCAATTTGATTTTTTCAGTGCAGATAGCAGAACCGAAAATGTGTATGTGTGTTTTATTTATATGTATATGTTGGTTATATGCAAAGAAACCTCAAGTCTCTGATCGTTTTTTGGGAGTAAGAAAGAGAAAAAGAAAGATTTCCGTGCGAATTGTGAGATGCAAGAATATTTAGTTTTAATAGGTGGGCAAACGAAAATATTTTTTTTTAAAGGTGGGCAAACGAAAAAAACAATTTTTAAAGGGTGGGCAAACGATAAAAAGCATTTTTAAAGGGTGGGCAAACGATTTTGTTTGAAAAGGTTTAGTTTTAAGAGGTGGGCAAACGAAAATATTTTTTTTTAAAGGTGGGCAAACGAAAAAAACAATTTTTAAAGGGTGGGCAAACGATAAAAAGCATTTTTAAAGGGTGGGCAAACGATTTTGTTTGAAAATATTTAGTTTTAAGAGGTGGGCAAACGAAAATATTTTTTTTTAAAGGTGGGCAAACGAAAAAAAACAATTTTTAAAGGGTGGGCAAACGATAAAAAGCATTTTTAAAGGGTGGGCAAACGATTTTGTTTGAAAATATTTAGTTTTAAGAGGTGGGCAAACGAAAATATTTTTTTTTAAAGGTGGGCAAACGAAAAAAACAATTTTTAAAGGGTGGGCAAACGATAAAAAGCATTTTTAAAGGGTGGGCAAACGATTTTGTTTGAAAATATTTAGTTTTAAGAG